ACTTCTCTGTTCCTTATTATAAGATCCAATTTTTTGAATGGGTTTGTTCCTTTTTATAAGATTATCTTTGAGTTTGTCTGAGCATTAAATGTATTATTACCTATTTTATCCATAATTTAATACATTTAATATATTCTCTTTCTTTATTTATCTTACTATTACTCTCTCATATTTACCTATTTATATATAGGGATATATTTGAAAAAAATTATATTTGCTATATATTAATTATCTTTAAATAATTTTAACTGTTTTCTTAAATCATGCAATTTAATTAAAAAAAATCTTATAATAAGAGACGGAGGGAGCAATGACGTGTAGATTTTTTTTAGGTGCCAAAATGACATGTAGATTTAAGAGTATAGGAAATTAATTCACATACAATTGATTTGATAAGAGATGAAAATGGGTAATAAATAAAGAGGGAAGATATAGGTGGGAATATTGGTTAGTGTAATAAATATTATGGGAAGGATAAGAATGTACAAAGCGTGAAGGCAACGGTTGTCTCTTTATAATCGTCACATGAACTTTCCCTTTTCCTCTCCCTTCTTTCACTCCTTCTTCATCCTCACTTACGCATCTCTTTTCTATGTATCTCTCATTTATTTTGTCTTCTCAGCCCTACTCCTCCATAATCTATCCATGCATACACACAGAGAACAAAGAAAAATTATGTAAAAAAAAATTTTTGTTTAAAAATTTTATTGATCAGAAGGAATTGATACGTTACATTTAATTTATAGAATTTCGCATAGAAAATTTATGATATTCAAATTTAAGTTCTTTTAACCAATAAAATTTTTTAAATAGAGACTTGTTGTGATTTTCCTAACATAAAAAGTTAAATTCATTTGTTAAATTAATATCCTTTCTTCTAAAAGATTTTCTATTCCTTTTCTTCACCAAATAAATTAGCCCCCCAATATTCATTAAATTAGCCTTGTCTTTAATACTATATTCACTATATTCAGTTCTTAATATAAAACCCAATTAATTAATTTAAGAAGAGTGAAAAAGTTGTTAAATTACTTAATTATAACATATATTATATAATCTCTCTGAAATATTTATGTGAATTACTACCTCTGATTTTACTTATAAGACCTTGTTTACAATTTACAAATACGGTCTTATAATTAGAATCGGAGGTAGTATTAGATTATATAACAATGTGTGAGTGAGATAAATTAATTTTAACAAAAACTATAAATATAAAAAATTTAAAGTAATTTAATATAACTTTTTTAATTTTTTTAAAATTAATTAATCAGTTTTTATATTAAAAGGCGGAGACAGCATAATCTTTATGTGTTCCTTTTACTTCTACTCTTGTCTTTTGAGTTTTGTCAGACCTCATTGTACACCTCTGTTAAAAAAGTCGACTGTGTTTGCGCTGAAATTTTATCTGTTCTTTGAATTATTTTCTTTTTTGGGGTGAGATATTATTGCTTTATTATTGAGAAGTATGAAGAGTCCATATCATGATCTAAATTATTTGCTTCAATAAATTTCTTTACCCGGAATCCTTAGATTCATCCTGACCAGGATGATTCATAATATCTTTTTTTTTAGCCAGAATAATATCTTAATTTTTAATAAGAGTCCAGATTTTTGTAGAGCACATTTTGGGCTCTCAAATTTCAGCTTCTTCACAAAAAATCTGGAGTACATAAATTTCCCAGGAAATTAAAGAAAATAATCCTAATGCGCATTATTTAGGATATAACAATTCTATGGATCGATGCTGCCTAGATCTGCATACTAATCACCAGTCTCAACAAGTTTATATTCTGGAACATGTTTTATTTATTAAAAATAATTCTCCTTATTTACATCATGATTTTTTTTTCATGATTAATTATTATTATTTGTTTGATCAAGGGTTTTTCTTTTCGAGACTTGAAGGATTTTTTATTTTCCCAATAATTACACTTTTCAGGATTTGAATTTATATTTTTTTAATGGGATGATGCCGTTTACCACCTTAACTAACAGTTTTTTAGTTCATGATTAATTAATTTGTCAAATAGCCTCATAAATAATTTATATTTTACGTGTGCCACATAAATAAGTCATGTTATTTAAAAATAACATGACTTATTTACCAAGTTTCATGCTTTAAAATATAAAATACATTACTATTATTTCATGGAATAACCCATCAGATAATAATGTACAAGCCTCAATAATTTTTCAACTCTACAAAATAATTAACTGCACAGGGTGCATCATTCAGAAAAAGACAGGGAAACGAGTAAATGGAATGTAAGTATGTAAATATAAGATGTAGACTCTGCCTTTTTTTCCCCCCCAACAGATGTAAACTCCATGCCCTTCGAGGACAAAGAAATTTTTTTTTCTTAATATAAGTTACGTAATTAAAATTTAAAATATTAATGCATACTTTTATTCTTAATTTATTATTTTACATATATATATATATTAAATAGGGATAAAACTTGCCTAGAAAAGGGTAAAAGATTGAAAATTATTACCACCCAGTCCTTAATATAATAAGATCTAGTTCACTAATTTAAGGAGATTAATGAAGTTACTTAATCATGTTAGTTATTTGTAATAAATAAATATTGTCTTTTCTAAAATACACTTATTATTTTTTGAATTATAGAATGATAGTAACTTTTTAACAATTATTTGAGAGTAAAATAAATAAATATTAAAGACAAAGCAAATTAGAATTTTATATTTAAAATCAAGTTAAATGTCAAACTGATTTTTATATTAAAGATTAGAGATAGTAAATTTTAAAATAGTGTTAGTTAACATATTGGAAGTGCGCGCGAATAAGATAAATACATACTGCATATAGTTAGTTACATTCATTTCTCTCACTTTATTATTTTTCTAAAGTGATGATTATATGATTGTAAATTCATTAATAATCCACACACACGCACACAACATTATAATCACCACTTAGTATTTGGTTTCAAGAATTTGTAGACTATTAGTCTCATTTTTATTGGTTTTATTTACGGTAAAAACAAAGTATTCTATCATTATCAATATCAATTATGTCATGTTTGAGCTACCCTCACTAGTTCACTGTTACTTAACTGCCCTTACATATTATGACTTCATCATTACTGTAATAATCCCTTCTTTATTTCTTATCTCACCAACAACGTAACTAAACAAAATTTGCTTCGAAATTTTTAGGTCAACGCCCCTACGGGTTTGAACTCAAATTAACCTACTCCCAACTATTTCTCTGGTCATTTGTATTTAAGAAACATTAAATATATATTAATGTTATTTAATAACATTCCATAATTAATTAAATTAATTCATTCCTTGCTGCTAATTAAATTCCACCAATTCATCTTAGCAATGTTTTAAAAGCCGGACCGGAAGTCGAACCGGAAAGATCAACGGGTCATGGTTCAATCGGTCGGATCGGTCGAACTGTTCGGTCAAACCGGTGGCGCAATAATTAATTTAAAACAATATTATATACATATAATTAGTATATATGAAAAATATCAAATTATTAAATAATTTAGAAATGCATTTAAATAATCTAAAATTATAATGAAATCATTGAAAATGGACTAAAACCTTATATATTTAAATTTATGTATGTTTAAAATATTTAATGATATTACAAATTATCAATTCATTCAAATCAAAATATTTTTTTAAAAGATAGACCAAATATCGAAACAAAAAGATTAGCGATTCACGATTTTAACACCACAATATATGAAATTTTTAATGAAATAATACTATATGGTTATAACTAGTCTAAAAATATATTAGGATATTTAAGGGGATCAATTTTTTTATTTTTCTTCTATTTTTTTTAAATTTTTTAGTATTTTTCAGTCAGGCTAAAAAACCGTCCGGTTTTTTGAAAACCGTTCCGGTTCCCGGTCCAACTCCGGTTTCCGGCTTAATAACGGCTCAACTCCGGTCCAATCCGGCTCAACTATGTGAACGGTTTTTTGGTCCAAACCGAGCCGTTAACGAGTCCGGGTGACGGTTCAACCGGTCCGACCGTCCGGTCCGGTCCGGTTCTTTAATCATTGCATCTTAGATTCTTGTGGCGAGAGTCATTGATGTATCTTCATCCTAGCTGTGTTAGGCTTTAAATGAGTAAAAACTCTCATTGCATATCCTCCCCCCTTTTCTTTTCAACAAAGTAACCCAATACTGCTCTAATTAATTATTATTTGTAATTAATTTAGAGAAATTACAAAATTTAAATACATTACTTAATTTTAATAAATATTACACGATCCTTCTAAAATATTTCTATATAACATGAAATTATAAGTTTATAAGTTAGATAAATTAATTTAAAATGAATTAATATTTTATATTTATGATCAAAACTAACTTTCTAATTATTCTCATACATTTAGAACCAGAGCAGTACCTAAAATTAACATTGTCAGACTATGATTAACATGCATTTGAGTCCAGTCTCTCTCTTAAATTTATATTTTTTTTCTAAATTTTTTCTACTAATGACACATGTTAAGAATTTTTTTTTTTTGGTGAAATGTTAAGAAAGTTCTGTATCAGAGAAGCCGCGTCTAATACAAATGATTAAAATAGATAATTTTTTTAAAAATAAATTAATTTTTTTAACATCTATGAATTACTTATTTAGTTGCTACATTTAATTAACTTTAGAATTGAAGATTGAAGCGAGTACAACCTAATTGTTTTGTGCTAGAAAGGGCACTTATGAAACTTAAATTTCTTCTATTTCATTGATCAATCCAGCTGCAAGGCCCTCTTGAATTTTTACAGTGAGAAAAAGATTATACAAAAAGGTTAAAAAAAACAAAAAACCAAGACTGATATTACTGAAAAAGTGGTGATACATTTAGCTGTTGAAGAGTGCATTAAATGACATTGAATTTTACAAACCTCAGAATTTAATTCACCCCGCACACAACTCACCAAATCCCATTTTCCTCCCCCCCCCTCTCTCCCCTCTTCTTTCCCTCCACCACCATGCTTCCCTCTCTCTCCTTAAATACCCGCTCCCCTCCCGCTTCGTTCTGGCCACAATCATTATTGCTCACACCAACCTTCAACAAAATCCTCCCAATCCTCCCTCATCCACCCAAACAAGCCCTTACACTGCTTCCATGGGCAAGAAACCACAAGCTCTTCCTTCTATCTCCAAGGCTCCTCCCAGAAAACATTCATGGCAGTTCTTTCCTCCCTGTGCTTTCTCCCCTAAGACCCTCTCCTTTCGTGCCGCCGGCGATGACATCTTCAGAACCGTCAACTCCGTCTACTTCGACCCCGTCGATCAGACCCCCGACCCTTGGTTCACGACGTCGTCCGAATCTGCGGCGAGCTTCACGACGGAGGACGATGTGGATAGAGACACGTGCACGGAGGAGTCCCTGGAGATGGTGGTTCGCGACGTGAGGTCGTCGGAGAGGCTGTTCTTCGATCCGGACGACACGAGGTCGATACTGGAGCAGGCGAAGGCGGGAATGGCGTTTCCGTTCAAGGAGAGTGAGGTTCTGGCGATGGAGTCGGAGGATCCGTACGGCGATTTCAGGAGATCGATGGAGGAGATGGTGGAATCGCACGGAGTTAGGGATTGGGAGGGATTGGAGGAACTATTGGGATGGTACCTGAAAGTGAACGGGAAGAACAATCACGGCTTCATCGTGGAGGCTTTCATGGATTTACTCGTGAGTTTATCCAAGAAGAACCCTGTTTCTCGTTCTTCTTCTACCTCTAATTACTCTTCAGCTATTTCTTCTTTCTCGTCGTCTTCTTCATTGCGCGTATCTCATTCTCAGCAGGCTCTGAATGAGATTGTTGGTGATGAGGATGATCATTGATCACAGCGTTCGCGTGATCGAACAAGTAAAATTAGCGTTTAGGCAACAATATTTTTTGCCAGCGATATTATATGATGCATTCTCATTGTATATTTTGTAGATTATTACAAGGTAATTGATCACTATATTAGTCACAGGTTTTGTGAGTTTCTCTTCATTCTCGCGAATCGTTTTTACAAATTGAACTAGTAAAATATTAACATTCTGGGAATTTTTTTTGATCTTGTACATTCTGGGAATGAGATATATAATTCTGCTCGCTGATCGAGTTAAATGTCATACAATATGACTTTTGATGTAATGGTTAGAGAAAAGGTGCATTGAGCATAAGGCGTCTGTGTAGAAAATGGCCGTTGAATCAGACTGAAAAAAAGTTCCTTAAGAGAAACTAAAAGCAGTTTGTTTGCCTGTTTTTGCCCAAAATGGTTTGCTTCATGAAATCAATCACAAGACAAGTTCTTTTGAAAATTGTTTGGTAAGATTTTACTTCAGAGCACAGATTTATGGTAAGTTTAAAATTATAGCAACACAGTTAATCGATAAAATAATAATACTTACTGTTAATATTTTTTAACAGACAATTATTATTGGGGCGATTGTGTTTACTTAAAAGTACATTCTAAAAGTACTTTTTCGTAAATCAAGATAAACTCCTTCACATATTTACTTCGTATACCGTAAAATCACTTTTAAAATCATGGTTTGGTTTTCATCCAGACGCCTCCTATAATAATTTTAAACTTTCTGGATAAATTTATGTCTAAATATAACTTTCAAATAATCAGTTCCTCTGTATATTAACCCTTCTATTTTTTAAGTTGAAAGAGGCAGACACTAATGGAGAGGGATTGAATTCACAATCTCCTATATATACAAATACAAAGAAACTTTTATATCATTAAATTAAACTATAAGACTAATTTTTTTGGACCTGAAAACTATAAGCCTAATGAAAAACAAACGTTGAATCGTGTGTAAACTCAAAGCATCAATTTTCAGACACTTTGATGTTTATGGAAGAGCTAGCTACCCCTAGGCTTTTGGACTGAATTTGAAGTTGGTCCAAAGAGTTGAATAGGGTTACCTTGGATTGGATGCCAAGAGGTTTTGGTGGGAAGAAAAGGAAAGAGCTGAGAATTGTGATGGTGATGAGAGTATTAAGAAGAGCCGGCTGAATGAGAGGATGTGTTTGGAAATTAAGGGGGAATTATTGTGCACCGCTCTATTTGGTATGAGTTGCTCAGTTGCTCACCCGGGAGCACATTTATTGTTTCACCTCCTTTTCGCCTCTCTGTCTCTCCTCCAACACAAATACTGCTACTTACAGATTTTTGTCCATTTAATACCGAAACACAAACATACTTTTAATTGGTATTCTTGTCCCCAGACAACAAATATGCATATAACATTAATGGTGAGACAACAAATTATAACAACATTATTGTATTTTTGAGCACAAAGTAAAACAAATTCATATCTCAGTTCACAAACATCAGTTAGTATAAGTTGTTGGTTTTTTGTTGTTCTTTTTGGGTAAAATGACAACTCATATTACAAATTTAAAAATAAATTGGCCAGTAATACAAAACATTTAGTGAATTTTTCCAAAGTCCAAAAAGAAACATAGGAAAATAAATTTAGCAATCAGCAAAAAAAAAAAAAGTCGTTTTCAGTGTTTGCCGTTGTTGTTTTGTGGGTAATTTCGCTTTGCATTCCGCAGTTTCCTTCTCTTGGCGGCATTTTCAGTGTTTGCCTTTGTTGTTTTGTGGGTGCCGATGTTTTTTATGCCGGAATTATGTTGTTTTTTTTGGGCCCCTGTAATGTATGTTTATGGTAGAATTATTGGATATCTTGGGCTGGAGGCCCAATTAATGAATACTGGGTTGGGCCTTTGTCAGATAGTGGCCTTGTTTCCATCGTCTTCCCTTATGATGTCACGGATTTTGGATTAAATGGATGCGGCTTGGGAACTAAAATTCAACATGTTTCTAGAGATCATGATCAAGTTGCCGATACTCTTGCCAAGGAAGGGTTCACTAAATCTTCGTTGGTTGATTCTTGTCCGTTCCGTATGCGGACATTGGTGTATCACGATTGCTTCGGATCAGATTCCCCATAGTGTTTTTTTTTTAACACAAAAAATTGTTACTTTCTTTTTTCTAGTGCTTTAGCTGTCTTTTGTATCCCAAAAAAAAAAACTGAAAATTGATTTCCCTAAGTTTCTTTTCTTAATTAAAACAAGGTATTTTTGCTAATAGAAGTTAGTCCAATTGGTAAGGAGTTAATTCATAACTCATAAAATTAGGAGTTCAAATCTCGTCACTGTTATAATAGACTTGTTGATAAACAATCCATAAATACTTCTACAATAGCTCTTTCATAGAGGCATTTCTTGACATTACTAAATCCTCCGGATCAAACTCATTTCAACTTCATAATAATTACGAAAAAAGGAGGTTTTATTCATACAACCCATATAGAAGGGGTGAAAACGAACTTTAAAGCTCCGTCCACGATAGATTTTGGCTACAAGAGAATTTTCTCATCCATTAGATATATCAAACAATAAAGAGTTCAACACTTCTTGGATAATGCTCAGCATTTGCACTTCTCAGAAAATGTTGAGAATTTAAGTCATATGAATGGGAAAAAAGAATCCTATTAAAAGAGCTTTTTCCAATAATCTTGATTCGGCCGGAATTCAGATCACGAGGTGGTTTTTTTTTTTTTTTGCTAAAGCATAGGTATCCTCCTATTAGAGACAATTCTATTCGAGGTGCTATTGAGCATTAAATGTGGGTACCTTTCTCAGCGGGGATTCAAATCTTGGTTTGTCACGTTATAAGGGATTAGTTCCTTCCGCTAGACCCAAACCTCATTAGTGATCATGAAGTAGTATTTGATTGTTTGTTGGAAGAACAATCAATTTTGGGCCTAACTGGTGAAGTTGAAGCTGGGCTTATTGGGCCTGGATGATTGGGCCGTATGGGGTCTCAAGAATACTAATGGGCATATTAAATACTATTTTTGATTTTTAATATAAAATCTAGTTAATTTTTATTTTGGTTTTAAATATAAAATCTCAATTTACTTTGTCTCTTACATTTATTTATTTTTTAGGATAATCTTTCTAATAATAGTAGTTCTAGCCAATACACTTGACTAGCAAGAATATTTTAAGAAAAATAATACCTATTTATTACAAATAATTAACTTAACTTATTTTCTTAATTTATTCAAATTAGTCAACTAGTTCTTATATTTAGGAGCGAAAGTAGTAAATGGGTTTTTCTTTCCAATGAGCTTCCAGCGTTACACTTGTATAAGACAAAATTCGCTGTTTATTTTGCGGGGTCAATCCTTTAATTCCTTTTTCTATCTCGACTTTGAATTACATATTTTCAAACTTATCTTTACCTCTGATGGTCAAATTTATGAATGAAGCTGTGTCCAGAGACTAGAGAAACTTTTTTTAAAAAAAAAAATCTTAATTTGTGACAAGATTGGGAAGCTAACTAGAGAAATAACTTTTTATTGACTAATCAATTCATCATTTTTTTATTAAATAGTTGTACCCCGAATCTTATATTTCAAATTTGCGCGGATAATAACATGATAGCCAATTTTATTTAGTGTACATCTTATTATTTTTATTATTACAGACATTCTATTTAGAATAAAATTTTTATATCATCATACGTTGATTATTTAGTAAGTTACTTAGAGGGTGTTTGGCAACCTCCAAACCATAGTTTCAGAAGCACTTTTCTATAAAATGAGGTAAATTCCTCCACATATTTACTTCGTAAACTGTAAAAGCACTTTTGAAACTATGATTTGGTTTCTATCTAAACACCCCTTGTTGTTAAATTTAAGAGTGGCGACCTGTTGCTGTTGGTGTCGTCGCTGCTCAGTGTCATATAAAAAGAAAAAAAAATCCGAAAACTCAGTTCAAAAATCAATTTAAAATGGAATTCAATAAGATTATATTGGTGTTTCTTTTCACACACAAAACTCGTTGATTTTGATGGTGTCCCTTTCCTTTTTGACTAGTCATCTCCAATGTCTTTGTCTGTAGATCGTAGGGTATCCCTTGCTATACTATAATTCTCTGTCCCACTCTCTCCAATAATAATAGTAATAATAGAATATAGGGATGCATATGTGTTTGTGTCCCCATTGTTGAAGGATCCAAGGCCACTGAACAAACAGCTGATTCTGTGCATTTTCTTTTTCTCCCTCTCTTTGTTATAGAGAGAGAGAGAGAGAGAGAGAGGTATTGTTGGATCAATTCATCAATTATAGAGTGATTATTGGGAGTTTGAGATCCGAGAAATAGCTCCTTACTTTCTCCTAAAAATTCTCTCTTCCAATGGAATGAAAAGCGATCAATGCCAAAAAAGAGAAGTTATGGTCACCTTCTATTTCCAACCTAGCCAGCCTCCTCCTTTCGCTTTTCTTTTTCTCTCCATGCTTTCCTAATTAAATCAAATCAAGTTGAGAGAAAATGACTTGTTTTAGTACATCACTACTATACATATGTTCATTATATATATATATATATATATATATTAAATTCTTTACAACGACCACAAGTTTTAATTTAGATGGATCGGAACGCCCTGTATTATCTTCATATATTTTTGTTACGGTTTATTTGAAATACGGGGATATTCAAATCCTACATCTTTGTGAATAAGTGCATCTTTAATTAATAATATTGCTTAACAGAAAGAATAATTTGAAATATATACATGTCCATGTTCATTATAACATTAGGTTATAGCTAGGGGTAACAATTTATGTGTCGTATCTTTTCAAAAGACTGTAAAAGATCAAGATGTGGAAGCTCTGTCTCCATGCCATTTGTTCCCGCATATATTAAATAAGATATTTGTCGATAATAATTAAATTGAAAGTGTTATATATCTTTGAAGAATTAATACTCATTTATCACAAGTAAGTGATTTAATTAATTTTTTAATATTTATGAATTAATTATATAGTTTTTTTATATATTTAAGATTGAAATGCATGATGGGTACAGATGGAAGTGCAACGATTGGATTCAAAGGAAAGGGGAAAAGTGGGAATGACTTTGAAAAGGAAGGACATTTTGAATGCTTTAGAGCAT